CTTCTGAGCTCAAGTGATCCTCCTGCGTAAGCCTCCCAAAGTGCTGAGATTACAGGTGTGAGCCACCATGTAATTAAGCCATCAACTTAACATATTTTATATTCCAAATAATATACCCATTTATTCAGTAGATATTTTTGGAGTCTACTAAGTATCAAATTCTGTGCTAGGTATCATAAATAAACTGATTTATGAGATGGACTTCATTCCTGCCTTAGACTTTTGTAGCTTAGAATTTCTTTTATGCCTGGCTTCTGGCTTCCATTCCTTCCTCTGCAGATAGCACTTATTGAGTCCCTATTCTAAGGGAAACTAGGTACATATGCTATTGCTTTCAATCATGTAGACAATCTATAAAGTAGTATTGGTCCAATTTTATTTTGAATAACCATTTCTACTTCTTAAAGACACAGATATCACAAAAGCATAATTGTAGGTTGCTTTGATTCTTAATTTATTGTAATTTGTTTTTCTCAAAGACTTTAATTGGAAAGGAGTATTCTATTTAAAATTTAAATTCTGAATCTCAAGGCATAAATGTTTTAAACTAAAATTTTTTAAATAGCCTGAGTCTTTTAAATTTTACCACCACGAATCAGTTCCCCATGACTTGAGCATTTGTGATTGAAGGGGTGAAAATACTGCATCTACACAGAAGAAAATGGGATGCTAAATCAGAAGTAGGAGGCATAATAACTGAAATGTAGGTGATCTTTTTACATATTTATATTACAATGCCTTTCTTATACAATTCTTCCATATTATACATTATATATAATATTTTTTTCTGTGCATACAGTCATTCATTTGGGATTCCTTTTTTTTTTTTTTTTTTTTTTTTTTTTTTTTTTTTTTTTTTTTTTTTTTTTTTTTTTTTTTAGACGGAGTTTCACTCATGTTACCCAGACTGGAGTGCAATGGCGCGATCTCGGCTCACCGCAACCTCTGTCTCCTGGGTTCAGACAATTCTCCTGCCTCAGCCTCCTGAGTAGCTGGGATTACAGGCATGTGCCACCATGCCCAGGATTCCTTTGAAGATTCTTTTAGGTGGATGACATTGTGTTAGGCAATAATAATTTTAAAAGAAGAATGTAAGGATAATGGCGAATTATAACATCAAAAAATGGTTAAATCTGCAAATGTTAGAGTTCTATATAGTATTCCCGGTTATCCACATTTTTGCTTTATGCAATTTTGGTTACTTGTGATCAGCTACAGTCCAAAAATATTAAATGGAAAATTCCAGATGTAAACAATGTATAAGTTTTAAATTGTGCATGTTCTGAGTAGCATCATGATATTTTATGCCATCCCTCTTTGACCTGCCCAGAACATGAATCATCCTATTGTCCGGCATATCCATGCTGTATATACTACCCCTCCCTAGTCACTTACTAGGGATAACAACAGGTGATAACAACCTGTTATCAGGTTGAAAAAATATGGTATATACTATATAGGATTTGGTCCTCTCAGGCATCCATGGGGGTCTGGATAAAGGGGAACTAGTGAAATTTTTTTTTTTTTTAAGAATAAAGGAAAGGAAGAAAGAGGAAGAGGGAGAGGGAGAGAGAATAGGGGTGTTGTTTTATTGCCCGGGCTAGAATGCAGTTTAAAACTGGGTATGCC